CAAACATCGTTGTTTGCTATTGGTGTGCGAATGTTTGCTATTGGTGTCGTGGCAGGTTATCACAGAAAGAACTTAGGACGTGGCAGGTTATCACAACAGGAGAAAATCAAACAACCTTGCTGCAGAGCTACCATTTGATAAATGGAGAAACCCACAAATAGATATAATTATTTTACATCTGTTAAAAACAAATAGTAACAAAATGTTTCTTTTTTGGTGCCACTACTGCTTTGCACTGAACAAGCTAAGTGTATATATATACTATATATATATATATATATATATATATTTAGTTTGTGACATGTGCAAGTTGGTATTGGTTATAGGGTTAGCAATCCTTACAAAATGTGACAGTGTAGTATTCTTCTTTCCATGCGAATGACTTTTAAAAATTCTACACACAAAGTTCTTTTTTTTATTTTGTATACAAGGTAATAAATAGGTTTAACATACAGGGTTGTCCAACATTATATTTCCTATTTTAAAGTTTAATAATTAAATAACTCCAGAAATACCACCCTGCAGGTTTGAACGTCTTGTAGTCCAACTCAAAACAGTTTTCATTGACACATCACTAGACCTCTAAGTGTGTTCCATTAATAGCTCTCAGTACGTATAACGATATCAGTCCACAACATGTTCACAGTTACATTGGTGATTACATTCATTATCCTCATCTTTAGCTCACCGATGTTTGCTATTGGTGTGTGATGTTTGCTATTGGTGTGCGTCCTTAGTTCTTTCTGTGATAACCTGCCACGTCCTTAGTTCTTTCTGTGATAACCTGCCACGTCCTTAGTTCTTTCTGTGATAACCTGCCACGTTCTTAGTTCTTTCTGGTGATAACCTGCCACGTTCTTAGTTCTTTCTGTGATAACCTGCCACGTCCTTAGTTCTTTGTGTGATAACCTGCCACGTCCTTAGTTCTTTCTGTGATAACCTGCCACGTCCTTAGTTCTTTCTGTGATAACCTGCCACGTCCTTAGTTCTTTCTGTGATAACCTGCCACGTCCTTA